TCTGCAAATCCTTTTAAATAATGAGTCATTTCAAAGATACTTGAATGAATCTACAGGAACAAACAGTTAAAAACAGGGGGTCAAAACTCAATTTCATCACGGGCATAAAATCAGCATTATGGTTGCATTCAAAGGCGGTTGTACTTTAAGACTATAATAATATATAATGTATATAAAAATGTATTAACAATTACATAATTTGCCTCTGCATTGGGATTATTATCGGATAGAGGGTGAATAACTTTATAATTAAACTACGTCTGAAAGCAGAATCTAGGGCAAATAATTGCAAGGTCTCTTCAGATGAGAATGTCACAAAATGATATTAAAAAGAAAGGCCAAATCTGGAAAAACAAAAAAAAGAAGTGTCATTTTGAAAAAAAAATCAAATTCTGAGAAAAAGGCAAATTCAAAAAAAAAAATGCATATTTTGAAGAAAAAAAGTCAAATTCTGAGAAAGTCAAATTTGAGATGCATTGTGGGACATGTAGTTTATGGGCAACATGCTTCTGTAAAGTAGCATGTAACCGTATAATAAACATTATATTCTTTGCAAGCCCTTGTGGGGCCGCATAAAATGAAGTCGCGGGCTGGATTTGGCCCCCGGGCCTTGAGTTTGACACCCCTGAGTTAAAAGATATTGGTATATTTATGTTTTAGATTTTTTTAGTCATCAATGGAAAAGGATCGTTTTGGTTAATCGCCCATCATTTTGTGGCATGCATCGTTTAAATGCCAACCGTAATCTTAATAAGTTTAGTTGGAAAGCTGGGTCACAAAAGTATGTAGAGCCAATTAAAGCAGACATGTTGTTCAGTGCTGCTTGGTGAATGTTCAGATTTTTTGTCTGGGTCTACAAGGCTCCAGAAATGTTGTGAGTTTTGCCGAGGCTTACACTGAACATGATTTTGGAGATGTATAACCTCCATCTCCACAGGATTGACACTGAACAGTTCAGCCATCTTCGTCTTTACATGACATTATAAACCATGATACATCAATTATATAGGTCTCCCTATATCTGTGTGTGAAATTGTTCCATCCTCAAAAAAACTGGAGCCCTCTCTCTCAGCTCCTCTGGCTGTTGTTTCTCTGCCTGTTTTGGTAACAGCTCTCCACTGATGGCTCTTAAATGCTGCCGGTCTGGGACTTTGGCTCGGAGCCCTCTTATTGGCTTACTTTCTTTTTAACCTCTCAGCAACTGACACAATCAATCTCTGTACTTCTCAACCCTTTGGGGTCCCGAGACCATTTCATCTTTAAGGCGGAGGTAGTTATCGACTGGAAGCACAGCTGATAAGAGTGACTATCTGAAGAGGTCGTTCAAAGACAGTTTCTATCATCAAGGGAGGAAGAAGTTCAAGTTATTCATTTCTACCCGTAGGTAGATTTTCGTAGGTTTAAAATGTAAAAAGTACAGAGGCTTCATTCATTGAAAGACAACCCTTCTATCTCAACACATATTGTTAATAAATCCTATGCCAGAACCAAGGGATTGTTTTTGTAGTCTTTATATAGCTAATTCCTCAGTGTCTATTAATGTTTCCAATAAAAGCACAGCGAACTGTTACCCAGGGAGACATGTTCCTTCTTCATGATGGCCATGGGCGCTGTATTCTTTATTTTTAGATGTAAAACCTTATACAACATTAGTGCTGCAGTAACTATTCCCTAGAACAACAAGTGTGTTTTAATCAGCCACGAATAAACAGATTAAATCAGACTGTTTATTCCTGTTGGCTTTTGGGGAGTTTTTGGCAATGACGATTGTGTTTTTTAAAGAAAATTGCCAGATTGAACCTTTGTGGTTTCAGCTCAAATCTTTCTTAAGTGGTCATTCTTTATTTTAGGGTTGCTTGTTTTCTAAAAGCGTCCAAAGCTAGGTATTTACATAGGAAATGTATTTGTTCTTACATTTTGAAGACACACCTTGTGCTATTGTGAGTTAGGGTTAGGTTAAGGAAACTGTTGAAAGTTATTTTTACATTTTTGTACTTACAGTATTATAAATAGGCTGATATTCATACCACACAAATCCTATTTATAATGATTTATTGGAAGAAACCAAGCAACTTAATGTCGACTCAGACTTTACTCATCCTTACCACAGTTTCCCGCCACTTTGACGAATTTGATCCTTAGATGACATAGTCGTCTATTCTTTGTCATACCCATTGTTTTCACTGGTGTACAAAGCTATTAATATTACATTTTATATATTTATTTGCCTTTATTAACCATTAAACAACTTTCTATCTCACTTAAAGTTAGGGTAGGTAAGAATGGAGAAACCAGCTCGAGTGCACCAGAATTTGAAAATACACAACCGGAAAAAAAATCTGCCCCTTCCTTCAGACTTCCTTACAGAGCCCCTCTTCCAACACACACGAACGCGCACATGACCAATGAGGGCACTAGATAAGTTTGTGCGCTGATGGAAGGCTGACAGGCAGGTAGGCCATCCAGTTACTTTAGCCGGGCCGGCTCAGATGATTGGTCGTGCTTTTTACAGCGCCACGGCTTCCACAGATGAGATTTTAATGTATTTATTGTCAAAGCATTTAATGTATTCATCGCTATCGGGATGTTAAGAGCATTCCATGGAATATAACAAAAAGTGTTTCTGAAGTGAGTTACCTACCCCACCTTTAAGGACGAGGGAACCAACTATTTTCAGGGTGTTATGAGTCATTCCTGCATCGCTCTTAATTTTAGCATCAAGAATATCTATAAATATAAATCATATGAGCAGACTTGGGGAGTAACATAATACATGCATCTGGATAGAAAAAAAGGTAACGGTGTTCACTTACAGTTACAGACTTTGTAATCTACACCATTGGCTCATTCTGTCATCCAAACAGAATCATGTGGCCTATATGTTGCCTTTACGTGCAATGATTGTGTTCTTTTTGACATGTGATATGTTAAAAAATACTATATTGTTGTAAACTAAAAAGAGCATATTCTGTGTGTTGTAAAAGGAGGAAACGGAGACTTACTGTATGTTTATAACACATTGGTGTCTTCTTTTCTAATTGCTCTGTTGTCTTGCATAATACACTTAAGTAAAAAAAGCATCTTATTGATATGTATTTTCTCGTGTATTTATTTGCTTTGCATTTGATATTGAGGTAATCCAGAAGTAGCTAACTGAAAGCAATTAGGTCACCTTTATTCTGTGTTACTTGGATTAAGTGACTGATTCAATTGTTTTACACCTAATTAGTAAATGTAACAGAATATATGGATTTGACTTCACCACATGTTCCTGGAGTAGTAACCTATGGTAGTAACCCGTGCAGCAGCAGCCCAGCTGTTCTCAGTGTTTCCCTGCACGTGGTGAACGTCACGTCCTCTGTTTACCTCCTCGCGGACAGGAGGGAGTCAGCTGCAGCACGAGGGCTACATGCTGCTCGTGCTGTCCTCAATGGCGGCGGGCACGCCCAGTGGGCGGGCACGTAGCCTGGATGAGTGACCACGTACTAGAGTGGAGGTTATTTATTTACTTTATTTACAATGAATCAATATAAAACACGAGTTTGTTAAACTGATTGATACATAACATATATGTTAAGCTTATAGACATACCGTTTCTGTTTCTGTGTTATTATTTTGGGAATTATGCACCTTATTTCCCCAGAATTTGGTTAAAAATGTTGACATGATCATTAACAATATGTCATTAAATAGTAAAGGTTATAATGACAATGTGTTGGTGTGTAACAGAGTAAGGAGTCCCCCCTCCTCCCTCTCATAGCCCTTTCTCATTTCACTAATTTCCCCTCGTCGAGGATAGGAGTCGAGGGGAATTAGAGAAATGAGAAAGGCCCATAGTAAACATTACAACCAGCACGTCTCCCTTTCTTCCCTCATCGCACTCCCTCTCTGTAAAACTGCGAGAATGCAACCGGAAGTTCAAAAGTAGGCCTTCAAAATGAAAGCTAGATTCGCCCATGCTTGCTAATGTGCTTTAAAGACACAACATAGAGAGAAATTCTCAGAGCAATCATAATGTGCACAACAATGAACATAGTAAGATAAATATGTGAAATAAATCAGTGTAACAGTCAGGAAATGAGGAAAATAGTGTACAATAGTAAAAGTGTTGCTAAAAATGTGCACATCATATCATTTTCTTGTTTTGCAGGAATGCATCAATTTGATAAATTAGGACATCTTCCAATTGCATGTTTTTCCCGCATCAAAAATTCAAATCAAAGCCCAAATATTTCCAATTCTGTATACAAAAACTCTAATTAAAACAAAAACATATCCAGCTTAAAGTGATTTAAAACCGGAAAGCTAAAGGAAATGTGAGCTTTTCATGATTGATAAATGTATTTCCTGAATAACACTTAGGCCTACCTGTAGATACATTTTCTGTCCTTAGCTTATTTGACCATAGCACTTGATAACATACTTAAACATATTCCCTTTGTCAGGGAATAATTCAGTATACATGTTTACCTTTCGCCCTCTGACGCAGACAACAAATGTGATTCAGTGTCCTCAGCTGTTCAGTCTATCTAATGAAGAATGTTGATTATTACACTCTGAACTAAAACCTGGAGCTACAGGAGGGGTCTTCAGAATTGATAGTGGCATCTCATCCGTGTGGTCAGACCGTGGCCCGTGACATGTCTTGTGAATTCTCCGGCCGAAGCTCCAAATAAACCGTCAGTGTTTGCCTTCAGAAGTTTCCCCCACACCCTTAATACATTAAAGTATTGTGTCACCACACTTCTTGCAAAGCTATTTATTATATATAAAAACAAGAAGAAAACATGGTATTTGGCTAAATGAGTAGATAAAGAATACAACATAATGAGGACAGGATTAGACTTTGGATCCAAAGCATTACTGCGTTTATTTTGAAATCGACCACCGGAAGTAGTACACCTCCACACCTGTTGGTTGACAGTGTCGCAGCCTCCATAAGAGCTCGCGGGCTCTCTGAAGCAGTCAGTGATCTCTCATCTCTTTTAATGTAGATCTCTGCTTCCAATTAAACGTCACAAACTCGCTCTCTGACCTTTTAATACTCTTTCTGTGACACGTTTCACATAAAATCAAAGTTATTCTGCTGTGAAATATAATTTTTGACAGTGACACTTTACCAGAATCTGACTTTATTTTATATTTTTGATGCAAAATGCCTTTCATTGAGCACGTTTCTGACGCAGATCTGGAGCGCTTGGCTCTGGAGCGGGTCGTCCCGGCGCTGCAGGACTTTGGTTTCTGTTATTTGGACGGGGTCCTGGGGGAAGTGGCCGGGGGGGCGGTGCTCCAGCAGGTGATCGATATGCACCGGGCCGGGGTGCTGCAGGACGGCCTGCTGGTAGGCTCTGTTCCCGGGGTGCACCGGAGCAGTATCCGCGGGGATAAGATCGCCTGGGTGAGCGGGGTGGAGCGCGGCTGCGAGGCGATCAACTTCCTGCTCAACATGATCGATAAGATGATCTCTGTGTGCGCGAGCCGGCTGGAGAGCAAGAAGATCCGCGAGAGGTCCAAGGTGAGAGAGAGGGGGGAGACATATTTGAATGCCTAAACACACACTGATGCTCCTGTAAGACAAGAACTTCGACATTTGGGATCAATAAAGTAACTATCTATCTATATAATACTGGACATCAGGAGATAAATAGAGATAGTTAAAGTTGCAGCAACACAGTCACTACAGGTCAGATGTAACTCAGTCACTACAGGTCAGATGTAACACAGTCACTACAGGTCAGATGTAACACAGTCAAATGAATAGAAAACAAGCTGAAATAGAAAAAAAACAGGCATACAATAATAGAGAATTATGCACAAATCAAAGTTCAGTGCAGTGTAAGGTGTCACCTGCTATTGAGCTGTCAAGTACAAGTAAACAAATGCAATTAAATGCAACAAATCAATTAATATGAAATAGGATTAACACAGAAAGGCTTGATATTGAACGGAAACTAAACAGTAAGCTATGCAGAAATCTAAACGAGTCAGAATACAGACTGAGTTGTGCAATGTTGCTGTTGTTGTTGTTGACAGTAAATGCTTTCTGGTAAAGGTCCCTTCATTCATATGTCATCATAGAGAAGGATATATAAAACACCAGCAATGTGACGAAGCTTTTTGGGGCTTGTCTTTTTTTTAAGGTCTTCTTCATGTGGCTGTAAACGTTGCTTTTCTATTAAAGACCACACGCAAAGAGTTGTAATCGTATGTGTGGATAAGTGGTGTGCAAAAGCTTTAACATGCACGTGTAATGTGGATATGTGATGTTGGGTTTTAATTGTTGTTGAGCATCAGGGTTTCCCCTTCAGGTCTGCATGTTGTCTGCATTATCAGGATGTACCCTCTGTGTGTTAGAGCGACATTGGAACGGTGAACCTCAGGAAACGCTGACGTGCATTTTCTGTATTTACACTGTTTCATTCACTGTGATATGAGCAGGTCGTTTGTTTGGTCAGTTTTGCTCATTAACCCGCTTAGATCGGAGGTTTTCGGTTTCATACGGAAACGTTTTGAAGGTGTCATTGCAGAATCTCTTTCCAGTTTAATGTGTAAGCCTTTTTGGCATCAGTCCAGCGACCTGTTCTGGGCCCTGAGCCAAGGCTTTAGAAACCAGCACACGCTTCAGGAAGGACAGGAAGTGAGCTCATGGACTCCCATTGAATGCTGGGAATGTAGATCTGAGTTTTTAACAGGAATGGTAGGGTGCATGTGGCTCAGGGGTTAATCTGCGTCGACCAATCAGAGGGTTCGATTCCCCCGAGCTCCTGCAGTCAAAATGTACTTTTGTTAAAATAACTACCATGTGTGGAATAAACAAATAAAATAAAAGTAATTTAATATTCCATGCCTCACATACTTATGTATATATAATAACTTGCTTTATATTTTGTTACTGTACATTTTGTAATTCAACAAGTACATTTTCTACTTTCTTGTTTATTTCGAGTCATTTACTTTTTATTGTACAAGGCCATGTCTTTTTATGCTCCTGCAACGCCAACATTTCCCAAATTAGGATCAATAAAGTACTTCTTATCTTATCTTATGTTATCTTCTCCTGTAGGTGTTGTGTTGTGTTTGAAAGCTGTTTCCGTTCATGGTGTTCGCGGGTACACTTTGACCCATGATTGATCTCAGTCCAAAACACTCAATATTGTTTTAACTACATCATAACTAACTTATTATGCATTCAGAACCGTACAATCCAATTTCACCACATATTGCACACGTGCATGTGTGTGTTCAGGTTCAAGTGTTAGAGTACATATTCATTATATTACATTTAGCTGACGGTTTTATCCAAAGAGAATTACAATAAGTACATTCGACCAGGAAGATACAAACTAGAAGAAAACAGAATCATATAAGTACATCAGGTTTCATAGAGCCAAACATTTCAAGTGCTACTCAACTGGCTTTAGATAAGCCAGCCCTTTATTAGTATATAAGTGCTTTGTTAGTAATTCTATCTCTGGAAGTGGAGTCCAAAGAGATGAGTTTTCAGTCTGAAGAAGATGTGTAAGCTTTCTGCTGTCCTGATTTCAATGGGGAGCTCATTCCACCATTTTGGAGCCAGGATAGCAAACCCACGTGTTTCTGCTGACGGGAACTTGGGTCCCCCTCGCAGTGCGGGTGCAGCGAGCTGTTTGGCCGATGCAGAGCGGAGTGCACGTGCTGGGGTGTACGGTTTAACCATGTCCTGGATGTAGGAAGGGCCAGATCCATTCACAGCATGGTACGCAAGTACCAGTGTCTTGAAGTGGATTCTAGCAGTTACTGGAAGCCAGTGAAGAGGGTCATTCTTTGAGAAAGGTCAAGTTCCCGTGGGGANACATGACCAATGAGGGCACGAGATAAGTTTGTGCACAGATGGAAGGCTGACAGGCAGGTAGGCCATCCAGTTATTTTAGCCGGGCCGGCTCAGATGATTGGTCGCAATCATCTGAGCCGGCCCGGCTAAAATAACTGGATGGCCTACCTGCCTGTCAGCCTTCCATCTGTGCACAAACTTATCTCGTGCCCTCATTGGTCATGTTCGTGTGTGTTGGAGGAGGGGCTCTGGAAGGAAGTGGCAGATTTTTTCCGGCTGTGTATTTTCAAATTCTAGCGCACTCGAGCTGGTTTCTCCAAAATTACCTACCCCACCTTTAAGTCAAGTTTACTTATTCTTAGTATTAACTGTAACATTTCCCATTAAGCCCATTGTTCCCAGATACAAAGAGGAGGCTGTCTATCTTCCTCCTCCAGGTATTTTTTCACATCTTTGTTTTCTTTCCCTCTTACAGAAAAAATGAACATGTGTGGAAGATTTCCCATCCATGAGCAGTAAACCCTTATTTTCACTTCCTGATTCTCTTACCGAAGATCAATCTTTTTCTGACCAGCAGGAACAGTTTGCAATAAAGCATGTTTTCCAAAATGTCAGGGAGTTACAATCAGCAGTCGGTTAGCTTAGCTTAGCACAAACACTGGAAACTCTTTGTGTCTTTGTAGAGGTAAACAAAAAATATATAGAATAATAATAAGGGAACTTTTAAAAGGTTAGATTTTCTTGCACATTGCTTTTCTAAAATAGAGTGAATGTTAGAAAACCCAATTTCCCACGGGATGAATAAAGTATTCTGATTAACATCAAATTAATGTTTCATGTTCTTTATCAGGGTTTGTAGATTGCCAGTATGACAAATAAATAAATAAATATTAGACGCTAACCTTCTTTACACAGCCCAAAGTCTGCGATCTTCACATAGCCCTGTGTGTCCAGCAGCAGGTTGTCCAGTTTGAGATCCCTGGAAAGAAAAGGAAGAGATTTTGTCAGATATCAGGTGTTGTATCCCTCGTGTAGAGTGGTGCAGGAATGACTGAATGACACAAGCTGAAGAGATTTTAACGTTTTGTTCTACCACATAAATTACATCAGTAAATACCCCACTGGTGAATTTATAAACAGTGGTTGCTAACAATTGTCTAATTGAGACGACTAAACGTCATCACGCCCAACATTAGCTGCCTTTAGCTTAGCGGTGATGACGTGAAGTCATGTGACCGTGCTGTAGTTCCTTTATAGCCCAACATTAGCCGCCTTTAGCTTAGCGGTGGTGACGTGAAGTCATGTGACCGTGCTGTAGTTCCTTTATAGCCCAACATTAGCCACCTTTAGCTTAGCGGTGGTGACGTGAAGTCATGTGACCGTGCTGTAGTTCCTTTAGCCTTTAGCTTAGCGGTGGTGACGTAAGTCATGTGACCGTGCTCCTGTAGTTCCTTTATAGCCCAACATTAGCCACCTTTAGCTTAGCGGTGGTGACGTGAAGTCATGTGACCGTGCTGTAGTTCCTTTATAGCCCAACATTAGCCACCTTTAGCCGAGCGGTGATGACGTGAAGTCATGTGACCGTGCTGTAGTTCCTTTATAGCCCAACATTAGCCACCTTTAGCTTAGCGGTGGTGACGTGAAGTCATGTGACCGTGCTGTAGTTCCTTTATAGCCCAACATTAGCCACCTTTAGCTTAGCGGTGGTGACGTGAAGTCATGTGACCGTGCTGTAGTTCCTTTATAGCCCAACATTAGCCACCTTTAGCTTAGCGGTGGTGACGTGAAGTCATGTGACCGTGCTGTAGTTCCTTTATAGCCCAACATTAGCCTCTTTTAGCTTAGCGATGGTGAGGTGAAGTCATGTGACCGTGCTGTAGTTCCTTTACAGCCCAACATTGACTTTTTACCAAGTTAAGTTTAGATTGACCTTTATATAGATTTGACCATTTACTACTTTTCTCTTGCTCTACTCTAATACTAGCTTCAGTTATTACTGTAAATATTATTGTCAGCTGGTGTATCAGTCTTATCAGTATTATTGTTAGTAGCTTTCTGCAGCAGAGACACTTTTTGACCCCGCCTGTTGTGTTCAAGAACGTCTGTAGGAGAAACAACCCTTTATCTGATTACATAATACTTAATAAGGGGAGTTTATGGGTTATTAAAAGATCACACATCGCTCCCTGGAAACGGCGATACTCGCTCCCTGGAGAAATGCGAGGGTGTACGTGAGGATCCACATGAGGTAATCGCCTTCCGAGGAATCAGGATCTTCTGTAAACTGGTTTCAGTGTAAACAAAGCTCGAAATAGCCGTGACACAGAGAGCTAAAGGTCAGAAAGTGTAAAGAAAGGCAAGGTTATTTTGGTAAATTCAGCTTTTTTCTTTCAATTTGGATGGACGCCATTTGTATGACTGCAGCTATGCCATGTGTTGACCTATAAATACATTTATACACACCTAATTTTACATATATTTGGGTTATATTGGGAGTCTTTCCTACTTGCAAGTCCTTTGAATATCAGGGGATTTTATTTAGATCCAACAGTATTTTCTATGTGTTTTTGCTGACATGACGGCGGTTCAAACTCCAGTAGCAGCTTGTTTTGTATACGTGAGAAAAGCTTCATAGTCTCAGTTAACCAGTAACCAGGCCTCTTGTTTCCATTTGATCCGCTGCCAAAGAGAAAGGGAAGGAACGATTCCTTGGAAGTGAGTTGTAATCAGAGAGAAGCCGTTGACACGTGAGTGATGGCTTTTTAATAAGGAATGGAGATTCAAGCTGCTGATAGCTGATAATAAGGAGATTACAGTTTAGGACGGCCATAATGTGTCATGTTCAGATACAGCATTTGCTTCGTTTAGCTTTTTCGTATAAATTAAATGTCTTTTGCTAATGTTCAGTTGAAAACATATATTAAAAATACAAACTGTGTCACGGCTATTTTTGATTGTTTTCCAAAATAGTTTGTTCACTATATGCATAGGATTTACACATCCTCTCTCAGTATACATTCTGATACATAATACACATTTCTTAACGTGGGGTTTTCAAATTGTCATTGTTCTGCCGACCATGGATAAGATTTGATTAACAACAACAAACTTTATGTTACTTTTGTAAGAGCAAAACACAAAAAGTGGTAATTCTTAACAGTTAAAGGTGGTAGGTAACTCACTTCAGAAAGACTTGTTGTTATATTCCATGGAATGCTCTTAACATCCAGATAGCAATTAATACATTAAATGCTTTGACAATAAATACATTAAAACATGTCATCTGTGGAAGCCGTGGCGCTGTAAAGCACGACCAATCATCTGAGCCGGCCCGGCTAAAGTAACTGGATGGCCTACCTGCCTGTCAGCCTTCCATCTGTGCACAAATTTATCTCCTGCCCTCATTGGTCATGTGCGCGTTCGTGTGTGTTGGAGGAGGGGCTCTGTGAGGAAGTCTGAAGGAAGGGGCAGATTTTTTCCGGTTGTGTATTTTCAAATTCTAGCGCACTCGAGCTGGTTTCTCCAAAATGACCTACCCCACCTTTAAGACAGTTTGATAAAGACCTTCCAACGTTTACTTGACCTGGTATCAGTCTCTCTGTGTTCAGTATCTGATATCTGTATTTGATGGTAACTAATTAATATTTGCT